TGGCAGGGATATTCTCAAGGACAAGTTGCGACTTAAGATGGCCATGGCTGGCTTGAAGCGTCGACAGAAGTCCCCCAAGCGCAAGCATCCGGTGACAGTGGCACATATTAAGCAGATCCAACTGGGGTTGGACACTGGGCTGTGGGATGACTTGCTGTTACTCACCGCGGTGTCTTTCGGTTTCTCCTTTTTGCTGCGTGCCTGTGAATACCTGTCAAAGGATGGTGTGGTCCACGAGGACAAGGTCCTCCGCATGGAGCATCTCCACATCTTCCAGGCAGGTCACAAGTTGGGGTGGGAACAAATTATGGCAGCGGACGAGTTGGTCATCCACATCCCAGGCTCCAAAACAGACATCTACAACGACGGTTACAAGCTCAATATCAAACTGCGAGCAGGTGACACGCCGTCTGACATCAACCCGTTATGCCTCCTTAGGCAGCTGTACACAATGAACCCAGCCCGCTTCGGAGCCAACGGGTCCAAGCGGCCCGTGTTCTGCTTAGCCTGCGGTAGGGTCCTGGAGCGTAGCACAGTTAACACAGCGCTCAAAGCAGCGGCGGTGGCTCTGGGTCTGGACCCTGCTGATCACGCCACCCATTCGCTGCGGGCTGGTGGAGCTACAGCCTTGTATGCCATCGGGTGGCCCCCTTCAAAGATCCAGCGTCGAGGGCGGTGGCTGTCTGATTGTTGGTTACTGTATATTTGGCCGGACAGGGAGGAGGCAACAGGTCTCATGGAAGACGTGGTCTCCAGTCCGGCCCCCTTGTTCCATATTTAAAAAAAAAGAAAAATTACTTTCCTCATTATGTTGCAGAAGTATGGCTGAGGTGGCTGCGCCATCCAAGCGCGGTCCGTCGGCCTTCATCCTGGCATATTTAATTGAAACTGAGCTCAACCTCCCCTCGAGGGAGGATCTTACTTGCTTCCTTTAAGGCCAAGTGGACGGAAATTGCATTTACGGCAGTACAATATGTTTCCGGTAACGAGTTAGTGAGTTCATCATCCAGCTAAATAAAACTGCTGGTTGTGGTGGTCCTCTCCCAGCTCGCCGCTTCC